GGTAGACAGGAGCGGTTGGACGTGATGATCTCAGAGGGCTTTTCCAACCGAGCCATTCTATGATTCTGTGTGATAAGCTGTGGAAACTCAAATGAAATGCTATGCTTATGCAGGATATTTGTAGTTCTGATGAGATGACACACATTGACCATGTTGTGTCACACACCTCCCCGTAGTCTAATTTATTTCCTATACTTGTCTTCAGTATTTAACTTTATTACAGAATTAGAAGAGCTGTTAATATTTACTAGGAATAATCGAATCACGGCTGAAGCTCTAATACACAGAGCTCTGTTCGGACTGATTAGTGCTGTGTGTTCACAGCTTTTGCTTTTGTACATCGACTCTGTCCTTGGAGCATCTGCTGGTACTTGTTTCAATATGCATGTCATGTTTTTCATGACAGATATGTCTGCTTCAGCCCATTCAGAAATAGCGCTGTGAACTAGATTGAAGCAGAGATGCCCAGAAGCAAAGTAGAAAGTCAAAACAAATAGAGAAAAATTACCTCCTTTTTTCAAAGGAACTTGACACAATCTTATGGCAAATGAGCTTCTGCCACTTGTCTCATAGACTTAACTGTAGAGGAGCTACTGGTATTTATTATTCTAATCCTGCTCTAAGGTGTAAAGTTTTAATTCCTCAGATATGACTTCATAATTTGTATGTTAAATGCTAGGATACCAGTTAAGCTCTTGTCAAAATTGTAACCTGTGATGTTCATGTTGCACCTCACCATTGTGCCATCATTATAAGGGATATGTTTTGTTTTCTGCTCCCCACTTGGCCCGAGTTGGCTCTTGTGATTGTCTTGTGTGCAGTAAGCTGATAAGTTCCCTAAAGCAAAATAAGACTATATATACACACACACATATATGAGTAAATACTCACTTGGATTCTTTTTTTTTTGCTTTTGGTAACACAAGTGCTTTAAGTTTGCTGGAGAGTAGAGCAGGACAGGAGAGAAGTGAGAGCTTCCACTTTTGGCAGTGGTAGACTTCACTCTCCCATGACCAGAAACCACGTTCTTTGTTTTGAACCAATTATTAGTTTTTAAATTGGGACTTTGGAAAAGAAACAGAAATCTCACATTATTTTGAATTGGTAGGGATGCGAAATGTGCCCAGTAATTCTTTTTATCATGGTTCGAGGAATACTGAGTGTTACCAGTTGTTGCTTGTGCTTTTTACTGTTACAGTGAGTAATGAGTTGGTTCGTGCTTGAGCTAATGAGTTGCTCCACCAGCAGATGAACTAAAGAGGAATCATTTTGTTGAGGATTTGTATCCTGTATCCCTTAAAACTCTACACTCTGCATTTGCAAGCAAATGAAGCTATGGCTGGTGTGGAGCTGTGTG